AAAAAACCCAACACGATGGGCTAACAGAAAAATCTCCGGTAAACTGTCGAGCTCTCCTCACTCACTCCTTATCTGGACATTCAGGATATTTATAGTCAAGCAGCTTCTACTTCTGAGTGGCTCTAGGCCTCCTGTACCTAGAGAAGACACAGATCTTAGAGTCCGGCCAAAGCTGGGACAGCCCATCTTCCTGAATCAGGCCATTTGTCCCCATACAGTTTTGCGGTGATACTGTGCATATCCGCATCAGTTATGGGTTTGGTGTGGATTAGGCTGCCACATAACTAAATTTACTTATACAGTATATGAATGAGCACAGTAGCAGAGTAAATTCACTTCTCTGTACTATCCGGACGTCCTGTGTCTGATAATGAGTGAGCACAGTACTAGGGTAATTATACTTCTCTAGACATTGTAAGTGAGAGTAAATTAGGTTAAACACCCATCTTTCTCCATTCGCACGGCCACCTTGTGGAGGCTCCCTTGAAGGTTTCACTCCTCCTCCTGTCCGTTTGCCCCTGAGGGACCTGGCCGTGGATGCAGAACAGTCTGGCATGAGCAGCTTCTGGGTGAAATTAGCTCTCTTTTCAGAATTCCTAACTTCCTCACCTCGGCCTCATTACCGTCTGGCCGACAAAGTCGCTGCGATGGGAATATTAATGACGGCCTCAATCTGCAAAGTCAAAGCGGCCCCCCATCTCTGGCTACCCCCCCACACACACACCTTCCGCAAACTTGGGGCCTATGTCGTTCCCCCAGCCCAGTGGAGTTAATATCTCACTCAGCAGCCTCCCAAACATTTTACATTAGCCTCATTTCTCTTCTTATCTCGCAGCTACATCTACCTGGAATGCATTTTATTTTTTATCTATGCATTTATATATGCAGTCAAACAAGCCAGGGAACACCCTGGACAGGATGCCAGTCCATCACCGGGCACAAGCCAGGGGTCACCCTGGACTGGATGCCAGTCCATCACCGGGCACAAGCCAGGGGTCACCCTGGACAAGATGCCAGTCCATCACCGGGCACAAGCCGGGGGTCACCCTGGACAAGATGCCAGTCCATCACCGGGCACAAGCCGGGGGACACCCTGGAAAAGATGCCAGTCCATCACCGGGCACAAGCCGGGGGACACCCTGGACAGGATGCCAGTCCATCACCGGGCACAAGCCGGGGG